TTTGACCCAGAATGTGTAGCTGGAAAATTGATAAGTTTATTTACAGCGTATTAACTTTCCCATTTGATTGCCATTATTTATTTTGTGGACCGTCCTACTTATATTATGAGCATTGCCATGGTACATGAAAATCCAGTTCTTCATAATTATGACAATTCTTCATGTCATTGTTCATCTCAAAAATTGAAAAAGAGTGAATGAGGAAGCTATTGAGGCTATGTTTGGCATAAATTTTCTGGGATAAAATAGTTAAAACGACAAAATAGACTAGAAAGTTAATAAGATAAAATATTACATCCAAACTATAATCATTTCATCTATTCTCTCACAAAAGTCAAAATAGCCAGTAAGTTCATCCCAAAAGAGACTTTTAAGCCCCAAACTAAAATAGTCAAAAATCTAACCTACATCTCAAACGAAGGCCGAAAAATCCATATAAACAAACAACGAATAACCTCCAAGTATTGAGCATTGGTACTACCAAACACTGTCTTTCTTCACATTGAAGCTCTCAATATATGCAAAACCAAAAAAACAAACCAAACTTAGAGAAAATAGAAAGGATAATGTTTTGTATCCTCAAAAAGTCTCTTTTAATATGATTTACAAGGATTTGATGATGTGGGGGAAAAAAATATTTATAGGGCTAAGAGCATCTCTAATGGTGCACCATTGGAGCTGCTATTGCCAAATTATGGCAGCAGTTGATAGAAAGGCACCTCCAATGGCAAGTTTTAGCAGCTGCGTGGCAAATGCCAAAGCTTGTGTCAAATATGGCACAAGCTTTGGCAGCTGCCAAAGCTTGTGTCAAATATGGCACAAGCTTTGGCAGCTGCCAAGTCACCTTCAACCAACCGTATCCTTCAACCAACCGTTTCCTCCCTCTCTCCCTCTTTCATCATCCTTTCCAAACACAGTTTTAATATTCACCCAAAAATCACACAAATTTCAACATATCAAACACAAAATTTTCAAACAATTTTCAACTTTCCAAATTTCAACATACCAAACATAATCACCAAATTTCAACTTTTCAAATTTCAACATACCAAACACAGAATCACCAAATTTCCAATTTTTCAAATTTCAGTTTCACCAATTTGAAGCAAACAAAATTTAAAAATAAATAAATAAATAAATAAATTAGAAAATGAACACAGTGAAATAAAAAAAAATACCTGACGGTGAGAGGGAGAAGAGAGACAGATAATCTTCTTTGTGTTCTTTAATACAAATGATTCTACAGATGATACAGATACATGATCTTCTTTGTGTTCTTTGATACAGATGATACAGTGAGAAAAATAGAAGACTGGTGGTAGACGGCAGTGAGAGGGAGAAGGATAGATTTGGAGGTGGGTTTGTGAGATTTGGAGACATGGATGATCGATTCAGAGGGAATTAAGGCTTTTGGAGGCAGATTTGGCAGACGGCGGTGATTGGCAGACGGCGGCGGTTGTAGGAGTGAAAGAGAGTTAGATCTGGGTTCTAAGAGAGAGAGAACGACCGATTAGTTGGATAGAGAAGAGATATATATATATATATATATAGAGAGAGAGAGAGAGAGAGAGAAAGAGAAGTGAGATAAAGACAAGGGTAGGGGGTAGAAAGAGATGGAGAGCAGAGAGAGGCGAAGGTAATGGACGGAGAAAAGAGAGACGGAGAGCAGAGAGAGCGACTAGTGATGGACGGAGAAGAAAGAGACGGAGAGTAGAGAGAGAGACTTTCGGTAATGGAGGGAGAAGAGATGATATCTAAAAGTATGAGAGAGAGAGAGAGAGAGAGAGAGAGAGAGGGAGGGAGGAGGTGATGATGAAACCAAATAGAGAGAGAGACAAAGACTGAGAGTGAGAGAGAGAGAGAGAGAAAAGACACGTGGACGGTGGTGATGAAACCAAATAGAGCCGTTGTGCTCTGTTTGGTTTAAAAAAAAAAAAAACAAAAATAACAACAAACAGGTGGACGGTGGTGATGAAACCAAATAGAGCCGTTGTGCTCTATTTGGCTTTTAAAAAAAAAAAAAACACCAGCTTGTGTCAAATAACAATATATTGAAACAGTAATATTTTGAATTTTTATAAATAGAAACCATTCATCTCAAATTTATTTCACAGCAACCATTACACATTTCATTTTTCTTTTCTTCTCTCTTCATCTCAATTTGATTTCACAATAAACTTCTAAAATTATATTTGTTTTAGTTTTTTCACACAATCACTATGGAAGGTTCCTAAAAAACAAAGAGAGGAAAATCTTTCACTACTGAAGAAGATATGGCAATTTGTAGATTATGGTGTCACATTACTGAAGATCCAATTATTGGGAATTCGCAATCTCATGCTCATTTTTAGGGAAGGATTTTTTAAAATTATTGCTCGCTGCAAAATGATCACTCAAGAACACAAGTGTCAATATCATCTCGATAGGATGTAATCATGAAAGGTTGCAACAAATTTCGTGGATGTTTAGCATAAGTAAAAAATCTACACCCAAGTGGAATGTCTTAAGTTGATATAGTAAGATTTCATATTTATTTATTTATGTTAGTTTATTTATTTTGTCTTATTTAAAAATGAACTAATTAATTAATCTAATAATTTATTGATACAAATGCTTTAAGCAAAACTGTTATACTACCAAGATGAAAACAAACATTTTACTTTCGAACATTGTTGGCCAATCTTACAAAATAATATCAAGTGGCAAGATGTAACTCCTACAAACACAATGAAGTCAAGGATACATACTCTATTTTCCTCTAATTCAGCCCCCGATTCACCTATGGATAACTGCATTTCTCTTGAAGATGACACCAGTCCAAGTGTTGGTAAAAATCCAACTATTGGTGAGGGCAGTGTCTCTGCAAAGGGTAAAAAGCCTATGGATAGGAAAGCTGCAAAAGAATTATTTCGGAGAAATCAAGTCGTTCAAGTTGAAATCCAAAAAATGAGTATACAATTGGACATATTTAACCAATACCTTACTGAGAAGGAAAAGAAAAAAGATGAAAGAGAAGAAAAAAAGATTCAAGCATTGTAGGAGCTGAAAGAACTTGAGATGAAAAAACATGACTTTGAGATCAGAAAACAAGAACATGAGATGAAAAAAGAAGAACATATGATAATGACTACAGACATTTCTCATTTGAACCCTCAGATGAAAGTGTATTACACAATGCGAAAAAATAAGATTTTTGCCAAGTGGTCCTCAAATGTCAGCAGCCCAAATTACTATTTCCCCCTGCTTCTTGATGAATAATTACGGGATAATGTATTTTTAAATTTTGCAATGTCATTTATTTTTTAATGTAATTGTTAGTCTTTATTTGCAATGTCATTTTTTTATTTTGTAATGAAATTTCATTTTTTTTCCCAGTATTTTCTACAACAGAATATAATTTTATTTTTGCAATGCATAATTTATTAAATATGTAGTGATATGTTTTTGGGTGGGGTGAATTATATTTAATTTTTTTTCGCAATTTTTCAATTCTCTTTTCATTTTTTATATTTGTGTAGTCGGAAATAATATAAATATATAATGTTTTTTACAAACAGTTAAAAAAAGGTCACAAAAGACAAAAAATAAACAAAAATAAAATCACAAAAAAACTTATATCCAAATAACACCTACAAACTTGGAGAGAAAGTTGGTTATGATTTGCCAAAATAGCAAATGACCATTGGAGCACCATTGCTATAATTTGGCAAAATAATACTATTCATTACCAAATTATAGCAATAGCAACGGCATTATAGCAACAATGGTTGGAGATGCTCTAATCCAAACAAGGCAATTGTAGGAGCTAGAAAAAACTATTTATGAAACAAGGCCCGACAATAGGCCCAACCCAAATAAAAAAGGCCATGGCATAAATATCACAACCTCCATCTATAAAACAAGGGCAACTCAAGGAATAGAGATATGGATCTCTCTCTGCAACAGAACACACACAAACCCTTTCATTTCTACATCTTTTTTCCTTGATTTAAGGACTAACTTTATCATCGGAGTGTCCTCGGCTGACAACCCCCGTTGGATGACGCCGACTATGTTCATCTTTCGTTGGATCTCTTCCCCAAAAAATGACGCCGACTATTATCATCAAGTTCTTTCCTTTGTTGGATCTCTTCAACAATCCATGTGAGAGAGTTTTTCTGAATCTCACAGATGATATGCTATGTGTTAATTTTTAATTTGGTACTCAATATTATTAGTGATTCTGAATTTTTAACATTTATAAAATGAAAATTACATAAAAATGTTCCAAACTAAGGTGATTCCCTTAAAACCCTGATGGCTTAAGGATACATAGGTACCAGACAAACATATGTCTGCATACGTTTGTTCAAATATGATATGAGTATGCACTATTTTAATTTCCAAAACTCATCTGGGAATAGAGCTCCATTTTGACTTTCTCTCCCAGCAACAATGTACGACACATATTCCTACCAACTCTGCCATCGTTGTTCAAACCAACATGCATAAAATAATGGACTGACCAACTAATACAGAAACAAAGCATAAAAAATAAAATCAAAAGTTGTCAAACTTGGATATCATTTTTTTATTATGAACACAACAAAGTCTAACCATGGAGGGTCTAAGATTCTACAACCACCCACCTAATACTTTTTAATCTTCACATTAAAAAAAATAATAATAATAAGAATTGCATTAGAACAAAGATTTCTCTGAAGAGTTCTTTAACACATTAATGGGTTCCAATGCAATTAATGTTCACCGTCTCGACCACGCTGTCTTCTTTCCAAGCCTTGCCCTGTGCCCCATGACCCAAAACTTAGACCTTATGGTTTTAGTGGCCACATAGCCCAAAATCAAACATATATATACTAGCACACCAATTCACATCCCACTCAGCACGTTGTCTTTCTTTTTCTTTTTTCATTTTTTGGGGTTGATGGTATTGGTAATCAAAATCAACACACGAGGGGGTAATAAATGCACCATCAATTCATTTGACATAGGTTTAGAGAAACAATAATAATAATATTAATTATTAGTAAGGTATTTCTAATCACACGAGAGTTTTTGTCCCCGTACCTTTTTTGATTCCTTTCCCAAACAATGTTTCTATTACACCATAAGCCTCAAACTTGATAGCCTTGTCGAAAGGTAATTTGGAATAAGAATAGAAGAGATGGGGTAAGAGGATCTAATCTTATCTCTGATCAATGTATAATATTGTATGCATTCATTTAGTTTGTCAAAATCGTTGTGAAATCGACATGTGGCGACGCCTAAGTTGGGGAGAGACAATGGAGATGAGACCACCTAATGGGGGCCTCATTTTTGACCTATAAGTCATCTCATCGTACGGTCGGCGATAAAACTTCAAAAATGGGAGGAACGAATCCCGAGACTTTTCGGACTTGTTGATGTGGTAGTCCTTGCGGAAGAACACAGCCGGTGATTGAAGGAACGAGGGTTTTGGAGTCCTCGGATGGTTGATGCCAGTATGGTCCATCATTTGGGTCTTTTGGGGTAGCGGTGTTGATGGAAAGAAGCTCCTTTTTGAGCCGTTGATGCTACTAGGAGTTGCCCTAGCAACCGGTGATGCGAATGACATGGACCGAGCGTTGAGGGGGGAGATTAGAGATGGGCCCAATGGGGAGGGGCCGATGGGACCCACTTTGGATGCTGACGTGTCAGTCAAGGTGAGATGCCAAGGCTTGAGTGAGTCCAGGTGGTGGGATACGGTGAAAGAGAAGCGCGAGGAGCAAGAAGCGAGCTTCTTGGCTGTTGGTGGGACAAATGAGGGGTCAAATCGGAGGGACGAGGATCGTGGGTAGGATGACATGTAGTTGAACTCCAAAGGCTCTTCGAAGTCAAGGGATGACACCACCATGGTCAACGCTGACAACTCAACAAATGGCCGTACACCCTGAAATCAAACCAAACCAAACCAAACCGAAAGAAAATTAGAAAATGAGCAATTGATTAATAAATTGAATTTTGAAAACTCAAATGTTGAATACCAACATAGCTAGAGTTTCTTGACAACTAGTATTGGAAATTCAAACTCAGTTAATAAAATTACATAAATCAATCATAAATAATTTATTTTAAATTTATATTTATTATTTTTGATTTTAATTACCAAATCAATTTCAAATTTTACAAATAATTTGCACAAAACGATTTACAAAATAAATTATTCAACTCATCAAAATAAAACTCGTGATTAGAAAGCTAAAAGCGGAATGAATACCTTCCAAAGATAAGAAAAAAGAGAGGGAGGATCAATGACAAAAGCCTTGTGAAGACGACCAGGATAGTAATCGGCTATGATCTTCAGTGTTGCCACCAACATGTTCATGAAAGCTGATGCTGATCTGTAAAAGCCTGCAAGAAAATTACAACAAATAGTAGTCAACAACAATAGACAAAACCAATACTAAAATAACCTGGACCACGACTTGAACATGGTATACACAATTCCGACTACTGTTATAACCTGGACCACGACTTCACAAGGGCACTCCGGGCAATTTCTGACATTGGTGTGCTCAATAGTTACCCAGGTATATGTTGGAAAAATAATATATCATTTTTTATGAAAAAATTTATCCACTTTTTTTTATTTTTAATTTTAAATTTCAATTGAAATGATATTTTTTCTGTTATTTTCTTTTTAGACTCTTGTACTACTGCAAGTGTCGTTTTTATATATTATATCAATAATTAAAATCGTTTATTTTGTATTATTTAAAAAACCAGAGTTCAGAGAAGCTGGTTCCATATGCATTGAAAAAGCACAGTAACCATGAAGAGTTTATTCTCTGTTTTACACTTTTTGTTTAATTTAATATAACTCATTGATTACAGTGATTAGGCGTGACTTGGGAAATTACAGATAGAAAGAGAAAGAGAAATGGTTGTTATCAATTTCAGCCTGTAAAGTCCTACAGTGGAATGTACGCTAGTGGCTTGCTGGCATATGCTGCTCTGCCCAACCAACCAAGAGAGAGAAAGGATGTGATATGAGATTTGGTGAGAGGGTGTGTGTTTAAATTACTAACCTACCCTTGTTTTTCAAAATTTTATGGGAATAAACAAAGGGCAGCATAGGCATTGTCATTAAGTAGACTTACTCGCGTCAAAGAGCAGAACAAATTTTTCAACATTTCTGGCCATAGTTTGAATGGCAACTTCCAGAGTGAACACCAGTAAACGAGTAAACCTACAAAAATTACAATCACTGTCAGAAAAAAATATTACACATAAATCAAATTTTATTATTTTTTTTTTTTTATAACTAGACCCCCCCAAAAAAAATACACGTGGACCTCACACTTTTGTCTTTAAAGATAAGAAATTTTGATTAAATATTATATATATATATATATATAACATTTAGGTATTGTTGGAATATAAATTATAAAATTATCTTTCTCTCGTTACCAAACACATTTAGCAAGCTTATTTTTCATAAACGGGCCAAACAGGTGCAAATATATTTAATGTATGCCGACGATAGATCCCTTACTCAAATTTTATTTTCTTGATAATTAAAATATTTGCATTTATTTGGTCTGAAAGAGAAAGTTAGACCACATGTGAAGGACATGTTGAGTATGCAAATAATGAAATTATCATTTTCTCTAACAATTTAACTTTTTATATAAATTGGTGATCAACGATCCAACACATACGTATCATATATTTACGATGTACTCACATTTTTTGAGAATGAAACTTCTGGTAGTCTTGCTTAATGCGGAACACCTGCGACAGAAAAAATGATAAAATGTCCAGATTTTGTGGTTTTATTTTCCAAGAAAAGAAAAGGAAAAGAGAAACTGAGAGAGAAAATTACCATGACAGGTCTGGATTCTTCGTCGTGACCGGCGACATAGGCCACCCCTTCCGCGAGCTCAGCCGAGAACTCATCAGCTATCAAATGGTCTGTAACTCAAAATCAAAAATCGAAACAAAAACACTTTTAATTTTTGTTCTTTCTTTTTATGGAAGAGTTTACTTTAATCAGTGCCGGTATGTGAATACTTTAAATTCAAAATGAAAAGAATAAAAAGCAAAGATTCTAGGGAAACGATCGAAACAAAAAGAAGAAAAAAAAAAAAAGGAAGATAGAGACGAAAAATAAAAGAGGTTCTAGAACAAAGATTCAAAATAATACTAGTACCAGTGCCGATACTCTGTCTCCAAGAAAGGCAAGCACGTAGTTGCTTCGTAGCTTTCTTCACATTATCACCTTTCGATTTCAGAAACCTCTCTACACATGCTCTGTTGCAGAACTTCTCCTGCCCCAAAATACACATTACAAATTATCAATATACGTACATATAAGAATACATATTCGAAATATTTGTTAATATCAAACAGTGATATCGGTGAATATTAATGGCAGAAGTCTAAGATTTCGAGACCTGTCAATCACAAGGTTATGTAAAATAAAACTAATGCTATATAAACTGCCCAAAGTTTGGTTTGGAAAGAAAATAAAATATAAAAAATAATGCTATATACTCATACTTTTTACACACAAATCTATCTATATTGATGTGGTAAAAAGATGAGACCTTATATTATTAAATATACAATAAATCAAATGTTGACGCATATAATATCAGATTATTGTATGTACAATTGTGAAACTTTTTATGAGTCTTAAACAAGTTCCAAAAAAAGCTATTTTTTACACATTTTTTTCACAAAAAATAATAATAAACTAAAAAAAGCGACATCCAATGATTTCAAATTTCATAAAATGTTTGATTCCATTACTTCATTTTGAGCTTATTTTCAAAAATTAGTCCAACAAAATATGGGAAGATTTGAAACAAAAAATGTGAAGAAAAAAAGAAAGAAAGTAATATGCATAGTGAACTCAGAATTTATATACATGTGTGTGGGTGTTTTGTAATGTACCTGTTTGAGGGTGAGAGGAGGTTGTTTTCGTAGAAGGGCAAGGACAGCTTCAACTCTTTCTTTGTCTTTGTGAGGAGTCTGATCTTTCAGTCCCATTTCCGAATGTGGTGTGGTGTAATTTTCTAAAGAAAACACAGAGATACCAAACTTCTTCTTTACGCAACCATTTCAAACTTCACTTTGCACTTTGAGTTAAGCAGTAGAGAGAGAGAGAGAGAGAGAGAGAGAGAGAGAGTGGAAGTGTGTTGTTTGTTAGAGAGAGAGTGTGATGAGGATTGACTGTATTTATAGCCGCAACGGAAGCCGTTATTTTATGATGCCACACGTCAGCAGTTCACCGATCAAATCGTGACGGCGGAATTGGTATCCGTCACGGAAAACGTTAGGTGCTTAAGAAAACTCCAGTTATTATTGTCTTTTTACTTTTTTTGCCCATGTCCTTCGCCAGACTTAGCTGGAACGTTGAATTTGTACCCGCAGTCAGTAAGTGTTAAATTAAAAAACAAATTTGTTGCAAATCTTTTACCAATATTCTAAAAAAAATAACTTAGAGATTGATCTACTTTTCAAATTATTTAAGAAATTAATCTATTTTTTGAAATTGTATTTTGAAAATATGATTTTAAAATTGAAATTACATTTTCAACATGTAATTTCACATTGAAATCGCATGTTAAAATACAATTTATGATGATATGGACTTCACTTTTTAAAATTGCATTTTCAACATAAGATGCAATTTGAAATTGCATGTTAAAAATACAATTTTAATTTAAAATTGTATTTTCAAAATACGATTTTTAAAAAGAAAGTTAATTTCTCAAATAATTTAAAAAGTGAATCAATTCTTTAAATTTTTTTTTAGAATATTAAAAAAAAAAACTCCATTATTTAGCATTCCTTATACTAACACAATTTTTTTAAACCTTTCATATTACTTGTTTATTTTTTTTACACATTTCTTAATAAAAAAAATTTAAAAAGTATGTACTTATTTAGATCATTCCAAATACTCTCTAACTTTTCTTAAGATTTAAAAAAATATCAAAAATTTAATAACTTTGATATAATTATATTAACCTTTCATTTAATAAGATTTAAAACAATCAAAATTTATGCATATAATATGAAAATATAAAAATAAAAATAAATAAAATATATGTTTATAATATAAAAAAGATGACAATATTATTTTTCACTCATAACACTAACAAATTACTAATAAAAATGAGATTAAGGGTTGTTTGAGATGTTTTAAATAAAGTGCACTTTTTGACTTTTTATGAAATATGGGTTGGGTTTGAAGTGATGTGATAGAGAGATGATGTGACTTAAATAAGATGATAGTGACTTTTGACTTTTTGACTTTTTTAGTATATGCCAAACAATGCCTAAGGCTATGTTTGGCATAGGTTATTTGGGCTATTCTAGTCACAATAAAACAAAATAGACTAAAAAATTAATAAGACAAAATGTCATATCCAAACATAATCATTTCATTTTTTTCCCATAAAAGTCAAAAAATCCATCATAAACGAAAGTTTTTAACCTCAGGCTAAAATAATCAAAAAGCTAAAAAGCTAAAATACCAACCCACATCCTAAACAAAGGCTAAATGTTAAATCTTTACAAAATCTAATATTATTACGTTAAATTTATGAAATTTATTATATTTTTTTTCCAAATCTTAAAAATGTCATTATAATTTATCTAAAAAATATAATTACATTAAACTACGTTCAAATTTATAAAAATTACATAGGCACGTACCTTGAAGAAAAATTTTAAATTTGTCTTCTATTTTTTGAAAGGAAAAAATTAAAAAATACTCATTAGTGTATCCAAATAATTCCAACACAAAACCCGCCTCTCCTCTTCCTCACCTTAAAACTCACAAACAAACATTTTCATATCTTTCTTTCCATTTTTTCTCTTAGCATTTCTTTAAGGAGAAATGAGAAATTACAAACCAGTGATTATCATAAAAATTAAATATCAATAAATGATAAAATTTTATAAATATTAATAATTAAAATTTTAATTTTTTTCACTAATCTATAATAAGTCTTAAAATTTATTACTAATGAGTAATTTCTCCTTTCTTTAATTACTCCACCATCACGAACTACTTTCCTATGTTAGTCACTCCACTCCACCGTCCATCATGCCATTTGCAAACCACCATCACCTACTTACTTCACTGTTATCTACCACCACAATTACCATCAATTGATTTTCACCACCACTCCAATATACGCCACAAAGCTATCGCCTACCAATTCCAACACTTAAGTACTCGTTTGGTAATGACTTTTTAATTAATTTTTTGATTTTTTTAGATTGAGACTTTTTTAGTCGTTTGGTATTCTTTTTTAGCCTTTTGGCTTTGGAATGGTGTATTTTTTATTTTTATTTTTTTGCTTATTTTATCCTTTCATGATTTTTTGACTCTATTTTATCTTTTTGTGATTTTTTAATCCAAAATATTTACCGAACAACCCCTAAATGTGTCCCCTAGTACTACTTCCCTCCACACCACTGTTGACTACCATCCACACCCAAATCGCACAACGTCCGATCCACTGTTGCAAAATTTAATGTTTGGTTTGTTTGGACATAAATTTTTTTTATGGAAATTTTTAAAAAAATATATTTTTTGAATTTTTTTTTTCTATACTTGGTGGTGATGGTGGTGAAACAAAGATAGAGGTGAAGGTGAAGGCGAAGGTGAAGGTAGTGGCAGTTGCATAGTATTGGGACGACACTGACAGCAATGGTGGCAGTAACTGTGGTGATGGTGGTGTGGTGGTAGAGGTGAGAGTAGCGGTGGTGGTGTAGTGGCATTGGTAAGATTTTAATTCAGAAAAAGTTTTCTACTTTTTAAAAATAAAAAATATAATCCACCCATATAATCTATAGACTTATTTTCAGTTGATCATGAATTTTTTTTTTTTTATTAATTTTTGTTTTTCATTTTACTAAATACTCAAAAATATAAAAATAAACGGAAAGTAAACTGAATCCATCCATCACACACTATCCATATCATGAGCCACATTTATCCTATGGCGCTACCACCACAATACACTCCTATTAGTGACGGATGTCACCACTAGAACCATAACCATCGCACCACAGTGTGTATATTTTAGTTTAGAAAATTGAAAAGTTTTATGAAGGTACTAATTTTTAGTATAAACGGATTTTTTTTTTATGTTGAGATGTTAACATAAAAGAATTTGAGAGGTTTACAAGACCCATCACGGGTTCTGTTTCGATAATTTGAACTGTTCATTTTATAAAACTCTTAAATATATTATTCATGACAAAAATTAGTTTGATCTAATAATCACAACTTTTTTATTTTATTACATTTGTCTCTAAGAAATAGACCATTTATTTTTTAAAAAATAAATGCAATAAAATAAAAATATTACGATTATTAGATTGATCGAATTTTTTTCATAAATAGTATACAATAAGAGGTTAACAAAATGAACAATTTAAATAATCAAAACAAAAGCCACAATAAATCTTACCAGCTCCTCCAATACTATCATACGTTTTAGTATATATGTCGTTGAAAGCTCATTAAAAACTTACCCATCAAAAAAGAGATTGTCATACATTTGTAAATCTCTGTCTCAATTTTGACTGACATAACATTTAATTGCATTGGTGAGATTTTGCAGCAAAGGGCAATGATGGACTGTGTAGACCAAAGGAGTGGAGAGGAGAGGAATGGGGTGGCGGGGGTGAAAGCGGTGAATGGGGGCCAATAGAATTGAACCCGTGAACGGATATGGTGGGATGTGTACTTTGGATACAATAACGTACTTCCCTCCAAATGCTAGGAGGTGTTTTATGGGTATTATTTAATATTGAGAATGATATAATAATAAAAAATTAAAAATATATAAAAATATTGATAAGTGCATTAATTTTAATAAAAATTTATTAAAATTAAGGAAAAGTATATTGTGTTCTACTCTTCTTTGTTACGGTAAATGAAAACACTAGTAATTTTGTTTCCAAAATTTGTTTCATTATAATTGTTTTAAATAAAACCAGTGAATTGTAACCCCCAAAAAAATTCAGTGAATTGAAAATTTGAACTCTAGAGTTTGGTTGAGCATTTGTTTAAGACCACAAATAAGCCGACTCAAATTAAATTTTAAAATATTTCAACTTATTCGGGTGAAAATTGGCCAGCTAAACGTCAAATTTAACTCTTAAAAGTAAAAACCCAAGTTGGGTGTAGAAGACCAAAATACCTTGTGAACAATGTTTAGTACTCCCTCCGTCCCAAAATAATGGTCCCTTTTGGGGAATCCAACTTTTTTAAAATATATAAAAATATTGATAAGTGCATTAATTTTAATAAAAATTTATTAAAATTAAGGAAAAGTATATTGTGTTCTACTCTTCTTTGTTACGGTAAATGAAAACACTAGTAATTTTGTTTCCAAAACTTGTTTCATTATAATTGTTTTAAATAAAACCAGTGAATTGTAACTTCCCAAAAAAATTCAGTGAATTGAAAATTTGAACTCTAGAGTTTGGTTGAGCATTTATTTAAGACTACAAATAAGTCGACTCAAATTAAATTTTAGAATATTTCAACTTAGTCGGGTGAGAATTGGCCAGCTAAACGTCAAATTTAACTCTTAAAAGCAAAAACCCAAGTTGGGTGTAGAAGACCAAAATACCTTGTGAACAATGTTTAGTACTAAACATGGGCCTTTGAAGACCAATTCTTATTCTCTTAGGTGGGCATAGACTACCATGCTTTCATAAATAACATCATATAAAAGGATATGCTAACAAGTGTCATAGAAGTATTGATTAATATTAAAATTTGTGTAAAAAATTAGAAAAAAATAAAACTTAAAAAAATTGTGAAAAGGTTAATTTTTTTTCCTTAATCCAATTAAAGTGTTTTGAAATTAGTAGAAAATATCTTGCTTCAATTCATTCATCTCTTCTTTTCTTTCTTTTTTTTCCTTTTTTTTGGCCTAAAAACAAAGATAAAAAAATATTTACAAATAAGTGAGAGTGCAAATTTTAGTATTTAAAACGGGTGATTATTCAGTACTCTCGAAGTATGGACACGTGGTGCTCTATAAGGTTTTGATTGGTGGAAAGACACAAGGGTCCACAATTTATGTTGGTGATGGGAGAACAACATAGGGCTAAATAATTAGTGATTGATTTGGAATATGGATACGTGGTGCTCCGAAAGTATTAA